GCTGTATCGAGCCGCTCAATTTCGCCCTTCAGCAGATTCTCCTTAGTATGGTGAGCCTCCAACTCAGTTTCAAGCCTCTTCCTTCTGTCCCTCTCAAAAAGCAGCTCCTGTGCTTGATGTTTGCTCTTCATCACCTGGTAGTTCTTCTCCTGAAAGTCCAACAACCCACCCACAGCACCTGGGTTAATCTCACTTATTAAAAGCATTATATCCAAGCATGATATAGATTAATCCAAACATGGCATGCACACTGCAAAGGTCATCTACTCACTTTCCTAGGAAAAAAAAAAACACTTAAGGAACTAAGTGGTTTTTTTTCTACTGAAGACCACAAAGAATTGAAGATAAAAAAAAAACACAATAGACTGATTTGTTGGGGCAGTGTTTATGCCATTAAAAGCAATATTGCACTATTCATCCCTTCAGTGATTGGCCTTTTTTGCCAGTAATTTTGTTACAGCTAATATATGATGCTTACCCAAAGGGCTGAGCAGAGAATGGGACAATGTTAATCCAAACACTTCTTTCATGTTGCACTATACAAATGCATTAGTGTGTGCTGTAATGATAATGAAGATGCTATTTCTGTCATCACTGTGACTATTACTATCATCTCTCATGGAAATGGAATTGGTGGAAAGTGAACTAGAAGTAGAACCCAATGTTATACTAGCTCCTGTTTGAGCCAGTTCTTATTTCTAACTGTGCAGTAGGAAAATGCCCGAGGTGAGTTTGTCATTGGAGCTGGCAAAGTGCTGTACCTGAGTGAGCTTTTCTGTGGTCTCCTCCAGCATTTGTACACGGCTCTGGAGTAAGTCAACCTGTTCTCGCTTGGCAGTGATCTGCTTCTGTATGCCCAATGCAACCTTTAGACCTGAAAGACCACATATAGCACCAACCACTTATAATCGAAAACATAAATACCTTATATGAGCTTAGAAGCATTATCAGGGAGTTATTAAAGGTATTATACCCGTCATTGAAGACACTGAGATATGTCCTATTCAGTTAATTTTGGTGTATGGTCCAAATACACAATGAAATTTAATCTGTGGCCGAAATTTAAACTGGAATCAACGTTCAGAATAGCTGCTTCACATGACCTGAAGAAAGTGAGTTAACAGCTACAATGTTACGTTCCTGCCAGCGATTCAAAGGATGCTTTGTCTAGCTTCTCAAAAGACTGACGCTTGCGTCATATGGGACCACATTGTTCCCATTCTCTTCACAAGCGCCTATGTACCATGCAATAACACAAAAGCAATATAACAAATAGCCTTATAGAAACTAGACTCTAGTGGTCAGGACCTAGCCAATACAAACACAATGCTTTCCACAGCATTTAACACTACACAACTTCTCGTTGTAACAATCATACCATGATGACGTAGAGCAAACGAACAAATGGCTGAACAGCAGAGTCGGATTACATTGTCACATGATGGAAAAACACATGGAAGAATAATAGGAGGAAGCTAGTGCACCAAGATACTCCAAAACTAGCATCCCAGTATGTAGCCTTCCTGCTATTCTCCAGACCTGAGGGATAATGAAGGGAAGGCTACACACATGACCATACTCCTTAAAGAAGCTGAATGAAACCACAGGGTCAGAGTCTTCCACCTATTATTTTAACCTGACCCAGATCTCACCTCACTGAATGAACACTGTAAATTACCGTCTCACAAAAAAGACGGCAGATTATAAAAACATCCTCTCCCTTCAGGCATGGGCTGCTCTCGCTGGAGATGGAGATCTATATTTGCACGTGTATACATTAACACTTCCTATACATTCTTTTCCCAGGGCTTTGATAGTTCTACAATTAGAGAGTGATCCTGTGGGGTCAGCGAGTGCCAACTTGGCTCTACTGTGTCCCCATTGTGTCATTGTAAAGACAAAAGTTGGCCTAATTGAAAATGGCCATTTTGTTTGTGTTTAATCAGTAAATGGAAATTTCAGAGAGGGTCTGCACAGCTGATTCCCACTCCCTTTTCATACTGGGACTGCAGACAGTGACTGAATTTAGTTACAGTTAACTGACTTACTCTTAAGTCATACTGTGTACCGTTTTTCTTTTTTTTTTTTTAGATAAAGTTAGTACCTTAATAAAATCAAACTGAATTAAAATGCACACTGCTTACAGCAATCTCAATGCTGTAAAATTGATGGCAGATATTTTACTACAGAGGCAGAGGTAAAGGCACCCCCATAAGATCACATTAATGTAATAGCTTGTGCTATTTTGCTCCAAAGTGTTTCATTCTGAATGACATACTTTGAGGATAACCGATTCTGCATATTGTTAAGCGATGAAGAACCTCACTGGGCTGCGGTCTGTTCCCAAAGCTATCAGGTAATGAAGTGCCTGTGTGTGTGTCCATAATGCATGACTCGTTCTAGTTGATTCAACCTATACCCGTTAATCACCTCATCAGCCACACCCTGATAAATATCTAATATCTAAATATTGGGAGAGAGGTTAATATGAAGACAGCTCTTAGGACATAATTGCTATAAAAATTATTGGAACTTCAAAATTGCAGTAATAAATTGGCACTGCTCAATTTACTGATACGGGGTGGACAGGGTTAAAAGACATTTTGCTTCCCTTTTTAACCACTGTAATGTTACTTTATATATGGTGTACCTTATATACAGTATTTGGTGTGTGTATACCATGTTCATCAGCACCCTCCAGTGCTTTGAGGGTGCTCTTAACCTGCTCCAAGTCGTTTCGGATGTTATTACGCTGGGCTTTTAGCTTGCTGTTCTGCCATTGCAGCTCCTCGGTTTTCTTGCTGTGTTCTTCTCTTAAGGCCTCCTGTTCTTCTAATAGAGAGAACACAATGCCAGCCATTACTACACAAACTGCTAGTTATGTGTGTAAATTTGGTAACTCTTTGTGGGCATGTGCATGCATGTCGAGACCTTTCAAAAATGTAGCATAGTGACATATAATGCATATTTGCCATAGATTCCACTGCCATACATCCAGTGTCATCACTAATGGGGTGAATGGTAGTTTTGTGGGGGGCCCACAAAATTCCAGTCCACATTCCATAGGCCCCTTTCTATGACCAAATAGTTGTATGCATAATAAGCTTAATCAAGCTTAATTTCCCAACCAATAACCTCCTCCAAAAAATTTACGAGTGGAGAGGTCTACACAATTAACATTTCAGGTGGCCCAGAATTCCTAGCTATGGCCCTGCATACATCCATCTTTCCCTGAAACCTTCTCGCCAAGCCGGAGCTGGTTCCTGAATGACAAGGAACTCTGGCGGTTATTCAGGGTTTAGAGAACCACAGTTACAAATGTAACTACTGATGACTAGTGAAAATAGTAGTGTGAACCAAGATCACACCAGCCATCACAGGGCCACAAGCAAGACTCTGTGGCCTAGATGCTGAAATCTATATGCTAATGCCAGTTGTGATCTAGAGCATCAGGGCATCCTGTCCCAGAGGGCTATCGAGGTCTGCTAGAAAGAAGCAAAAACAACGTGTTGGCTTGGGACTGGCAAAGAAGTGTAGTTGCTGGCAAAGTTCCTTGTACCCTGACAGATGGTGGGACCAGTCGAGCAGTGCTAGAGGATCAGAGGGAGCGTGGTGCCATACGAGGTGTGATAAGAGCTTTGAGATAAGTGGGTGCTGGTCCGTTTTTGGCTTTGTAGGCAAGCATCAGTGTTTTAAATCTGATGCGGGCAGCTACAGGAAGCCAGTGCAGAAAGCGTAGCAATGGGGTGGTGTGGGAGAACTTAGGAAGGTTGAAAACCAGTCGTGCAGCTGCATATTGGATCAATTGCAGAGGATGAATGGCTCTCAGAGGCAGACCTGCCAGGAGAGAGTTGCAGTAGACCAGTCTTGAAATGACAAGGGACTGAACAAACACCTGTGTGGAAAGAAATGGACAAATTCTTCTGATGTTATAAAGGAGAAATCGACATGAGCATGTCAGATTAGCAATGTGAGAGGAGAAGGACAGTCGATTGTCCGTGGTTACCCCAAAGTTGCGTGCGGTAGCCGAAGGCGAGATCAGAGAATTGTCTAGGTAGATTGCAAGATCTGTCCTAGATCTGGGCTACCAATTCTGGGTGCAGACACCACTCCTCTGAACATATGTATGATCTCAACAATATGTCTGTCACATCATTGTAGAGGAGTTACTCTCACTTAGGCTAGCTGTGAATGGGCCCATCTGAGAACATTCTGTGCAAGAAGAGTGCACCGTTGCACCTTCCTCCAGGACTCCTGCTGTTAGGAATGCCCTGCATCTAAACGTGCTCCTTGTGTTTACCTGAGACAGGGACACATTTGTCAATGAGATGTCCAGCCATAGACAGATAAGCCACTTCCGAAATGCCCATAGCATAGACACCAAGCCTTAGGGGATCACTACTGCCATCAATAGTCCTAGCTTCCTCCACAGATACCAATACCACACATGGTAACCTTCCTGGATCTGACTAGCAAGCATAGAAATATCCACAACACACTGGGGTGATGACTTGACTAGCATTCTCAGTGAATCTAGCCTTATGCCGATTAACTGTGTAGCTTGCTGTACACAGTGTTAGGGAGCACATTTTTGAGCTGACTGTGAGACCAAGCACTGTAACGTGGCTGAAGAGAATGAATGCGTCATGTATGGCCTGATTCTTTGTGGGGCCCAATAGGAGCCTACGAGAAAAAAGGAGTAAACTCCAACCCCAGAGATGTGGATTAGCGGAAATCCAGCTAATTTTGCAGGCTTAACATTAAACAGTGCGTGGTATGTGGAGAATATTCAGGGGAGAAACCAAGCCAGCAGAGAAGAGATGAGAGAAGGCTATCCCAACTTTGGAGAAAAGGTCACCTGGAGTTCCAACCATGGTTGGAAACTGATAAGCGAATAGGTCCATATAGTGTACCTGTAATTAGACATGCACACAGGCACAAAGAAGGAAAAGATGACTGTGTGACAACAGTATTTATTGAAAATACTGTGCCATATGCCCGCCTGGCTAGCTCAGTAGGTAGAGCATGGGACTCTTGATCTCAGGATCAGGGTGCCAACCCCAGACACTGGGGGTGCACAGACTAGTGCATTCTCAGTGTCAGTCCCAAGACCGGATAAATGAGGAGGGTTGCATCAGGAAGGGTATCCTGCGTAAAATCTGTGCCAAATCAATATGCGGACAATGGAAGGTGATCCACTGTGGCGACCCCTAACGGGAGCAGCCGAAAGAACAACAACAACAACAACCATGCCATACGCCACTATGTGGCTCTGTTGCAAGGTCTCAGCAAGCATTCACATGTGCACAGGGGGGTATCCAGATGTTTCACACTGCCCCTGGGGATGGGGAAGTGAAATAGAAACACCATTCGAAATCAATAAGTCAGAATAAACTAGGTTCCACAACACATATTCCCTATGATCAGCAATTTGAACAGCAAATTCAGTTTAAATCTCTAAATGTACGTTTCTAAGTACTACATCTAGAACACTCAGATGGATATTTCACTTTACCTTTGAGTTGATCTAGCTTCTTGCACTGGCTCTCCAGCTCAGCAGTCATCTGCTTTTTCTCCAGAGTTAGCTGGTGGAGGCTGCTAGTTCTCTCTGACAGGACTGCCCGCTGCACGGTCTTCTCCTGCTCCACAGCACTCAGCCTCAGTTCTGCCTCCAGCAGGGCAGACTGTTCACACAGCCAAGTTATCACATATGAATAGACCAGAGGTTTGTATGCTACATCTCAGCAGTTACAATTCTAGGTTAATGACCATAAGTAGAATGTTGTGTGTTCAAATCCTAGAAATGACTGCCCAACTTCCCTTCCAAAACACCTTACCTACCGCTTGGGCCAACATAAAGATAACAAAATTAAAACAATATACAACCAAACTCTACTACAAGAACAGTGGTATACCAAACAACGTTAAACATGTGTAAAGTGGTGTGTAAAGGTACAGCTTTTAATTTTTTTTAGAGCCTCCTGCTGCCTGTGAGCCAAACCTAATGGCTCTGAAAAGCCTGGAATGAAGATCCATTGCATGGCAATATAGCAATCCTATCATTTTTGGAAGGTATAGTTGAAATTATAATTATTATGGATGTAGAAACACTAAATATCTCACTGCGAATGATGATCACAAAAACCGACATATTTAACCCGCAGTAAATTACAGTTTTTGAACATAAAACAATAATCAGTTTTGAAACTAAAGAAATAATATGAATATCATGAATATGGTTCATTATACACACTGACTGTCTCGCAGCAGATTTGTGAAATTCTTGTGTAACTGTCCAAATAGGGCATAAGTAGTTTTGTCTGAGGCCTGAATACAATTGCCTGTGTGCAATTTTGGTATTAACTTCTTACTACACACTCATAACTCAACTCTAAATATGGCCCAGTGGCCGCAAGTCAGTGAGATGGCAATTAACAGAGGCACAGCTGCTATTGGCAAAGAAGTAGGTGGGGCTAGCTGATGTGATATCGTTGAGCTTTAACATCCCCGGTCTGGTCCTGGGTTCTGTTTTTCATGTTCTCCCTGTGTCCGCAAGGGTCTCCTCCCGGTCCGCTGGGTTCCTCCGACTTCCCAAAAACATGCTGGTAGGTGGACTGCCTACTCTAAATTGCCTCTAGGTGTGAAAGTGTGTGCGCATGATGCCCAGCGATGGACTTTGCACCCAGTGTTCTGGGATGGGCTGACCAGGGTAAAGTGACCCTGACCAGGATAAGGTGCTTAGTGAAGAGGAATGAATATGAACAATAAGTGAATTAATGAAAAATAAATGCTCTCTAAAAATGTGAGTAACTATAAAAATGAGAAAAGTCTATTTCATATGAAAAAATAAATAAAATTGAAAAAATGGTGTGCATTTTCCCTTTGCTACACAAGAATATTAAGGTACTGTATATTTCTTTCATATCAACCAGTACTAGTCTTAAATAATCAGTAGATATGTATTTGATGTAATATGCAATTCCAAAATCAAATAAAAATTTTTTTTTTTTTTTTTTAACTTTAATGTTCTCTATAGATTTACCCTCAACTGCTGGTTGTCCAGTCGGAGCTGCTCGAGCTGCTTGGTCAGACTCTTCCTCTCCTGCTGCAGGGCCACCAGAGGCCTCATGAGCAACTCGCCACTCTTTTTTCCATCTTCCAGTCTGAGCCTCAACAGCTCCACCTCGGTCTGCAATGCCTGCACCTGGGTGTGCGCCTCCTCCAGCTGAGCCCGGCCCTGTTGCACTTCTTGCTGCTTCAGTGGAAGTTCTGCATCCTGTTTGTCCAGCAGAGACTGTAGCCTCCTGGCCTCCCCACTGCTCTTCTCCTGCATTACAAAAATCATTCCACACAGCATGTGGATTCACATGTCATTTCATACAAATCATTCCACACTGTGTGTGGAAAGAGTGTGTTGTTTGGCCACATGCCTCATTGTGCTAGTGTAATTCCTAATTCAGTTCTGACTTAAGTGGTTCCAGGTGGTAAGCTCTTAAAGCGATTATGATCATTTCTCTTTTATAAGATTTGGAATACCAACAGAAGAGAAAGCCAAATAGCTGAAAATAACAATAGCTTAAAAAACAATAGCTTTGTTTGAAAGATTTATTTCAAATTGATCAAATAAGATTATAACAAATACTAGGAAAGCTGTTGCCTGTTTTCTCACATGCAAACACTTGGTGATTTTGTTGGCCTGCTCGAGCTGCTGTATCTCACCACGAAGCTGCTCTAGCTCTTCTTGTACCTCTTGCTGCTCAGTATCTGATAACTTAAATAAAAAAGTACTGTCAAATGGTGCAAGCATTTGCATCACCCTAAATCAGGCCACAAGTCTTCAGATGTTCAGACTACGGTAATGTACATACACAGCAATTTTCCTACTGACCGGCATGTCCAGATGTCTCTGGTACTGCTCTCTAAGAGATCGGACGAGATTCTCAAGCTGCTCGACTTCAAGGCTGCGCTGCTCCAGCTTGTGCCTCTGCTGCCGCTCTAGGCACAGCTCCTCTGCAGTCTGATGGAGCTCTGCCTGGGATGGTGTGGTACAATTTTTGTCATGCAAACAATTGTATCACGCCATACCAATTTTTATATTTCACTCTGAATTTCACTACAGTGTCCTGCACTGTGCTGTGATTGAACTCTTTTCATTTATATAGAAACTACTTTATCAGTTGCTGGATGCAGATTAAGTGAAGAGCAGAGGGTACTCAGGAATTGGAATAATTTCCCCAAAATACTGGGCAAAAAAACATGTGATCAAGAAAGATCATCTATAGTTTATCTGTGTTTATAAAAATCTCTGTTTGGGGGCCCTACACAACTTGTGGTTTGTCGATAAGAAGGATTGTCATTATATCTCAAATTTGTCAAACTGATGAAATGTGTTTCTGAGAAAGCTTGAGTTTCCATGAAACACTCTGTAAAATGTATGTCTGTTCTTCTGAAGTGAAATGTGCTTTAAGGTTAAACATGTATTACTGTAAGTCGGCACAGCTGGGTGTCCAGTTCCTCAGCTTGCTGGAGCGAGAGGTCTCTCTCCCTCTGGACCTGCTCAGCCTGGGATTTTGCTTGAGCCAGCGCCTCCTCCAGAACACTGACCTAATCGAGGAGCCACAGGTTCACTCCATTTCCAAGAAACCAGCACACTTTTTTAGCCTCCACATGCTTGTTTGTTTCACAGAGCATATGGAAGATGCTAAGAAAAACGTCATGTGTTTATCATATATTTTGCTACAAAAAAAAAAACACACCCAGCTTCTGAAATCTTGTTGCGTAATGATTTTTTAAAATTGTTTTTGCATTACCTCAGCTGTGTAGGTCTTCTGTTTCTCCAGCAGGTCTGAGCGCAGTATGGAGAGAGCACGCTCCATATCACTCTTCTCTGATTGGTGCAGTGAGGTTTGGCTTTGGAGTTGTTGTCTTGTATGAACACAAAACAGAGATCAGTTGCAAATACAAACTAGTTTTTTATACAAAGAGTCTGGGTGAAGAGGTTCTGCATAGCGTTTAAAAGTGGTTCTAGTTGTTTTGACCTGATTCCTCTGGAATAAATAGAGATCCATTCCTGCTTTTTTGAGTTAACCATTTAAAATGTTATTGAATGCACTGACACTTCAGACACAACTAAATTCTTAAAGATTTAGGCCCAGTAGAGAGTGTGACATATTAGCATGACTCTTACTGTAATACTTCCAGCTGGTGTTGCAGGCCATCTGCTTTAGTCTGAGAGCTATTCAGTTTCTCAGTCAACATCGCCACCTTCTGCTCATGACTGGTAATGAGCTGCTCCATTCTTTAAAAAAGCAATAGCAAAGGTCACATATAAAACAAAATTATTTTGACTTCAAATCAGCATATTGCACTTAGGCAGCCAATCTTCCACAACAGTACAGTTAAAAATTTAATCTAAATACATAATGTGTCACTGTGTTAATGGTTAAATAATAAAAAAACCAAGAGTTTCATTTAAACCCTAGTCACATGGAGGCAAAATGAACATACCTTTCCTTATACTCTTGTAGAAGAGACTCTGTTTTTCCTTGACCCTGTTCCTTCAGGTCTTTCAGTTGTCTGTCCACCTGATAAAAACCAACCAACAAACAATTAATCATGATAACTTATCAACAATTACTTGGATAAGTGGTTCACCTAATTAAGTTGGCATCAATTAAGTTGGTGGAACATTAATTAATGATGGCACACATTTTGTATTTTGTCTCCTCACATTCCAGCAGTTGGCTTTGGGAACAAAACCAATGATGTGGACCAGTAACAATAAGCTAATCAGGACAAGGAGGCATGTCTACCTGCTTGTCAGCCATGTTCCTTGTCAATTTAGAAAGCTCCCTCTTTCGCTCTAGCATTCATTTATCCTAGCCAAAGCACCTATATGTGTTTTGGTGGCCTGGATTTGGAGACAACACTGCAAAAAGGAGTCTCCTTTGAATATTTAGATTCAGACCAGCTAGCTTCAGATAGCTCAACAAAATCACTGACTGTTCCTTTATCGTTCATTTTCAGGAAGCTCTTTATCCTGGTCTGGGTCGTGGTGAATCTAGAGTGAATCGG